CCAGTAGAAGGGATCTAAGAAGGATGCCACATTAGCATCCTTTGCTTGATTGCAAGTGTTTCTCAGATGTACATCTGTGGTTGTTTGCTGCATCCCTGGCCTCCTTGTGACAAAAGTTGAATGGCTACTTTTTAAACATGATCACTCAAATGTTTGTGCAGCACTGGATAAGACATTCAAACAAAAGTCCATCAGTGATACCTTTATTGGCCAACCAAAATGCACAATATACTTGTTGCAAGCTTTTGAAGCTCCATGGGCTTCTTCCTCAGGCAAGATGTTCCAAACCAAACAGGAGAAAAGCAATTGGAGATGTTAGTCAGATGCCTATATGTTGTTTCAGTCTTTAGTTAAAATGGTTTATGGTGGTGAAGATATTTTTTTGCAGGCAAGCTCCTACTTCTGGCCCTGTGGCTGTAGGGAGATTTGCAAAGTCCAGGTAATTTAAAATCTATTTGCATCTCAACAGGGACCCCTCTTTTGCAATCCAATAGGTCTCCATTCCAGTGAGGTCACTGAACGATGGATTCCTCAAGAAATCTCATGTGTTTGCATCAGGATTATCCATCAAAATATTCCTGATGCAAACACATGGAGACTTCTTGAGGAATTGTTTTTCTCTTGTTTGGTTTGTAACATCTTGCCTGATGAAGAAGGCCATGGAGCTTTGAAAGCTTGCAACAAGTATACTGTGCATTTTGATTGGCCAATAAAGGTATCACTGATGGATGTTTGTTTGAATTTGCTAAATGGGCAACACCAGAATGTTTTCTGGATAAGACATGGTTCACACAGGGATGATTATCACTTGTTGACTGTAGGACCAACAAGTGATGTGTTGAACATGTAAACAAGCCATCACAGATATTAACACCAGACATCACTTTCATGTCAACCCATAGTATAATGTTTTTAAATCCAGTTGGTTCGTACATTCAATTAGCCATTAAGGATGATAACCACTTGGCAGTTGCAACATCAAGTGAAGGCTTTTATAGAATATCAGAGTTGAAAAGGACAATAAGGGCCATCCAATCCAACTTCTTAACACTTACACAACTAAAGCCCTCCTGAAAAATGTCCATCCATCTATCTGAAGACCTGCTTAAAAGATTACTCTCCAAGACAATCTATTCCACAGTTGAACAGCTATTATAAGGAGGAGGAGGAGGAGGAGGAGGAGGAGGAGGAGGAGGAGGAGGAGGATTATTCTCTTTCCTTGTACACTGAATCCATGTAATCCATACTACTAGAAGAAAACATCACAGATGTCCTCCTGCAGAGGAACGTCAAAGATGAAAGTGCAAAGGCAGGCCTAATGCTGAACATAAAGAAAAGTAATGACATGGGAAAAATACATGATTTCAACCTAAACAATGAGGAAACTGAAATAGTTAAAGTGTCCCCATACCTTGGATCAAACATTAATCAGAATGGAGAGTGCAGTCAAGAAATCAGAAGAAGACTAGGAATGGGAAGGGCAGCTATGAAGGAACTAGATAGGATCCTAAAGAGTAAAGATATACAAATGAACACTAAAATTAGAATCATCCAAGCCATTGTATTCCCCATGACCATGTAGGGATGCAAAAGCTGTGAAGGAAGCAGGTAAGAAGAACATCACCTTGTTTGACATGTGGTGCTGGGAAGAATGCTGGTGATACTGTGGATGGCCAAAGAGACAAACAAATCTCCTTGGAAGCCAAGATGATCAAACCGAGGCTGTTGTACTTTGGCCACATCATAAGAAGGCACAGTTCACTAGGAAAGGCAGTGATGCTGGGAAAGATGGAGGGATGTAAAAGGAGAGGAAGACCACAAACCAGATGGATAGACTGAATCAGAGAGGTCACAGACCTGAATTTACAGGACCTAAGCAGAGAAATGGAGGACAGGGGATCTTGGAGATGTCTCATCCATAGGGTTGCCATGAGTCAGGGTCAGCATGAGGGCAGTTAACAACAACAACAACAACAACAACAACAACAACATTCTGAATGATGGGTTAGGTGGGCCATGAGAGAGATATAAAACTGCACACAGAATTTTCAGATATCTTCACATCACTTCAGACTAGGACAGCCACCTAAAAAAAAACAAATCTTGAACTATCCACCCTGTGAGCTTCAGGCTGCTATCCTGAGAGCCAGCTCCACTTGGAGTCAATGTGAGTACACTGCATGGTCACTTAATTGGTCACTGAAACCTGAATCCATTTGAGGAATGACATCATTCTAAAAAGGTGGAAGAAAGTGGACCTTTTCACCTGGCCTCTTCCCAGGAATTACACACTCTCTACCCATGGCTTAGGAAAAAAATGTTGTTGTGTGCCTTCAAGTGGTTTCCAACTTAGGGCAACCCGAATGCAAAGCTATCATGGGGTTTTCTTGGGGGGAGGGGTGCCACTGTCCCCCTCTGAGGTTGAGAGAGTGTGACTTGTCCACAGTCACCCAGTGGGTTTACATGGATTTGAAGCCTGGTCTTCAGATTCCTAGCCCAATGCTCAAACCACTACTTATTGTATAGGACTGCACTTCCCAGAATCTCCCACCCAGCATGCTGACTGGAGGATTCTGGGAATTACAATCTCAAAAGTGACTTTCTTGAAGTCTTCAAAGATATAGCCATGTTAGTCTGTAGAATCAGCATGTAGAGAGATCTTGTAGCACCTTTGAGACTAACTGAAAGAAAGCAGTTGGCAGCATGAGCTTTCGTAGACTAAAGTCTACAAATGCATCTGAGGAAGTAGACTTAAAGTCTACGAAATCTCTTGCGGCCAACTTCTTTCTTTCAGTTAGTCTCAAAGTTGCTACAATATCTACATACTTTCTCAAAGTCTGTTCCTGACAAGCCAGGAGAAGAAAATGCCTCACCTACCCATTTGAACTTTTTAATAAGGTTTCCAAATCCCTCCCAAAAAATAACTCCCGGTTTAAGTAGAAGCACAGCTGTAACCAACAGATTTGTTTTATATAATCCGTTATTCTGCTCCACAGGGCAGCTCTCCTTCACCCCCCCCATCGATAATGATGATGATGATGATGATGATATTTATTACCAACTACAGTTCCCAGAATTCCATAGCATGGAGCCAGGGCAGTGTAAAGCGGTGTCAAAAGCCGGGATCATTGCTGCAGTGCGGGTACAGCCCCGGTTGTGCCCGCTGTGGATGTTTTGGACCACAACCCCCATCCACCGCCCACAGCCAGGGATGATGGGATATTTAGTCCTCCCTGGAAAACTGTGGGTAAGGAGGCATCTCTCTTCTAGCATTCAGCAGAGAGGACCCACCTGGACAGCGCCGACCAGCTCTTCCGACTGAGAGCCATGCTGGGCGATCTCTCTCTCTCTCTCTCTCTCTCTCCTCCCTGGCTTTGG